GGAAACAAGTAGGCTGCATTAGGCTAGAATATCAGTTTCTGGGAATCAAAAGTGGGCAAAGTTGCTGTCGCTCTCAGGCTCTCCTTGTGGTCTTCCACAAGGTATCTGAATGGCCACTGCAAGATTAGAATGCTGGACTAGATGGGCCCTTGGCCTGATCCTGAAGACAGTCTCTTTTTATGTTCTTATATGCCAAGATTAGGGGACGCGGGTGGCGCTGTGGGTTAAACCACAGAGCCTAGAACTTGCCAATCAGAAGGTCAGCGGTTCAAATCCCCATGACGGGGTGAGCTCCTGTTGCTCGGTCCCTGCTCCTGCCAACCTAGCAGTTCGAAAGCACATCAAAGTGCAAATAGATAAATAGGTACCACTCCGGTGGGAAGGTAAACGGCGTTTCTGTGTGCTGCTCTGGTTCGCCAGAAGCAGCTTAGTCATGCTGGCCACATGACCCGGAAGCTGTCTGCGGACAAACACCGGCTCCCTCAGCCAATAAAGCAAGATGAGTGCCGCAACCCCAGAGTCGGTCGCAACTGGACCTAATGGTCAGGGGTCCCTTTACCTTATGCTAAGATCGGCGCCTAAATAAGCTTATACATAGTTGAGTGTTTGTGTATGCACACACAATAAGGGTGGGAGCCCTCAGGACCACATGTTGCCCTCTAGGCTTCTCTCATCTGGCCCTCTGGACTCTACTCTGCACCCTCCTTGAGTATTTTTGCCTGGCTGGAAAATGTCCTTGAACTCTGGACATGCCTCTTGCTTGTCTGGGATGGAGGAAAGGAGTGTGCAAATGTGTTAAGAAACCAGCCTGGTGTACAAAGGCAAACATTACATCAATTTTTGACTCCCTTTTGCATCTTGGCCCCACCCACCCCCGGCATGTGGCCCTCAGGCAGAACAAGGGTCCCCACCTTAATATATTCAGATGCAAACCCATGTATACAGAGAGAGTGCATCCCTAGGAAGGAGAACAACAGCCTGCCTCCCTGGAGACAGGAGAAACCTCCCTTGCAAGAGGCTCTGTCGCCCTGGAGTGACGGCAGGGGGCCGCATCTCTGAAGAAGCCAGCGAATCAGCTTGGTTCTCAGGGATCAGCTCTCTCTCAGGTGGCATGCTGAGACGTGGAAGAGGCAGCTTATTAATAGATGCCATGAGGCTGCTGCCTGTGAGTTTTCCATGGTTTATTTAAGAGGAGCTGATGGGGAATGTGCTTCTCTCAAAACAAGCTGGGGGGGAGGTGACGGATTGCAGCCTCAAGCTCTGGCAGCTAACTCTGGTTCCATTTCGCCTCCCTTGTTCCTGCCGGGAGAAGATGCCTTTGTTTTCCTCAGGCTTTCTGCCTTGAGATGGAGTTCTTTCCCACATTGCCATGTGGCCGCCTATATGTCCATAGATTAGAATAATAGAGTTATAGAGTTGGAAAAGGTAAAGGCAAAGGGACCCCTGACAGTAATTTCTGTCACGAGCAACTCTGGGGTTTCAGCGCTCATCTCGCTTTACAGGCTGAGGGAGCCGGTGTTTGTCTGCTTCCACAGACAGTTTTTCCAGGTCATGTGGCCAGCATGACTAAGCCGCTTCTGGCAAAGCCAGAGCAGTGCACGGAAATGCCGTTTACCTTCCCGCTGGAGTGGTACCTATTTATCTATTTGCACTATGTGCTTTCGAACTGCTAGGTTGGTAGGCGCTAGGACCGAACAACGGGAGCTCACCCTGTTGCGGGGCCTCGAACCGCCGACCTTCCAATCGGCAAATCCAAGCAGCACAGTCGTTTAAACCACAGCGCCACCCACATCCCTCATAGAGGTGGAAGGTACCCCCAAAATCATCTAGTCCAACCCTTGGCTGTGAGACCCGCTCCCTGACTCGCAGGCCTTTTCCCACCAGGCCTGGGAGGGCAGGGCCCTGACGGACTCCAACTACAAAAGCTGTGGCTGCTGGAGCGGCCAGAGAGCATCTTGACTGTCTCTTAGTGGAGACTTAAGTCATGAAGCTTCCATAGCTGCCTCCCACCACCTGCCATGAACCACCATTGGCAGGACTGGCAGCAGCAGCAATGTTGCTTAAGATAATATATTATTCTCCTGCAAATTATGCAATTTTAAAAGTGCATTTTATATTTGAGTTCCTTTAGTAATGTTTTCTTTTAAAATGTCTGTGTGTGTATTTGTTAACTTTGCTGTGTTATATGTGCATTCTGTACTTGACTTCCTTTGCAATGTTTTGTTTTGAAATCTTTAAATTAATATTTAAGTTTCCTGTTAATTATGTTGCTTTGAATGTATACTTTATATTTCACTTTCTTCTGTAATGTTTTATTTGGGATTGTTTTATCTGATGTTTTAATGTAGGCTTTCCATTTGTGGGATTGTCTCCTCTTCACCAGGGAGGCTTGCCTGGGCCCCTTCATTGCCTATCTTTAGGCACCAGGCAAACATGTTTCTCTATAACCAGGGCTTTGACTGATTTACATTCTAGAGCCTTTTTAATGTGTTTTTTTTGGGGGGGTTATTGGTTTGTTTGGTTTTTTGTGTTTTGTATTTTGTGTTCTCATTTTGTCTTTTTTAGTTGTGAACTGCTCTGTGATCTTTGGAAGGGCGATATAAAAATTTAATAAATAATAATAATAGATTGTACATCACTTCAATTTTCCCCCCTTAAAAATATAAAGTGGCATTGAAATGAAATGAATAATGAATAATAATTGCCCCCTGCAATGCAGGAATCATAGCTAAATTTTGTAGTTAAGCTAAAGTTGACTCAGAATAGACCCATTGAAACCAACAGACTTAATGTCCATGCCTATGCCTTTCAGTGGGTCTACCCTGAGTAGGATTAACACTGGATGCAGGATTTAAAATAAAAAATAAAAACCTGCGCCACATCCCCTTCTCTGAAAAAGAAGGAGGGGTGCAGGTCAAGATCTGGACAAACCTAAGAGCATTTCTGTAATATTTGAATACAATGGAATCATCAGGGAAAGGGATGTGGGTAGGTAGGAATTATGGGTTGTCATTTGTTTGATGATACTGTCATAACTTGTTATTCCTTGCACATGCGCACACGTAAACATATATAATAGACTCTGGCTACTGAGAAAAAGTTTTCCCACCCTTTTTTGCTGATTGGAACCAATCTGCCACTGAGGATTGGCTCCTAGGGTCACTTTGGAGAAAGCATTCAGAAAACAAGTTGTTCTGTGTGCTCCGAAGCTAAGCATTTAAACACTGAAAACAAAAGGTGCTTCCGTTTTGAGAGAATGCTGCACATGTTCTGTTACATACAGTGGAACTCAATGTAAAACACAACTTAAGCCACTCTGAAAGGAGATATTGGAGCACTCCCAAATTACAGGTGAAACTCGGAAAATTAGAATATCGTGGAAAAGTTCATTTATTTCAGTAATTCAACTTAAAAGGTGTGATGTATGAGAGAATCTATGGGGCATTGCCAAGAGACAGATGAGAGACATGAGACCGAGCAATGCAGAAGAGCTGAAGGCTGCTTTTGAAGCATCCTGGTCTTCCATAACACCTCAGCAGTGCCACAGACTGATAGCATCCATGCCACGCTGCACTGAGGCAGTAATTGATGCAAAAGGGGCCCAAACCAAGTACTGAGTACATATGCATGCTTCTACTTCTCAGAGGTTCAATATTGCTCTATTTGCAATCCTTGTTTTGCTGATTTCATTTAATATTCTAATTTTCTGAGATTGTTAATTTGGGGTTTTCATCAGCTGTATGCCATGATCATCACAATTATAACAAATAAAGGCTTGACATATCTCGCTTTGCATGTCATGAGTCTATCTCATATATTAGTTTTACCTTTTAAGTTGAATTACTGAAATAAATGAACTTTTCCACGATATTCTGATTTTCTGAGTTTCACCTGTATTTGCCCATTTATGAGGCATGGAAAACAGTGGATCTAGCTGAAAGGCAGCGCATGGAGATCTGCAATGACTGTTGCAATGCATCCATATTTATATGATTATTGTGTAAGCTTAGAGATGACGCGGCTGTGACCATCCTGAAGGGACCCTGCACTTCTGAATTTGTCACTACTGCTTAGGATCTCCATTTTTCCACCAGATGTCATATCCTGCCCTTACATATTTATACACCCTGCAATGCAGTATTGTAGAACAGAGGCTTCAAAAAGCAGGTCTGGGTGCTGCGCCTCAATTTCCCCACCCCGTAGCAAACACTCGTCGTTTTTCACATTCTTTGTTGTCTGTTTCTATTCTTTTCTGGTCTTTGCCTTATTGAATTTTCCTGTTTTATTCCCCCCCCCTCCTTCTGATCAGCTTGTACTTCAATGGCTTAGTAAGAATTCCCTACACACTCTCCAAAATGTCAAGGGAGATGATTTTCTTCTACGAGATTGCCAAGGCCTTCATTTGCATCCCCTAACACAGTCCGCAGACATGATCAAAGAGGAAGAGGGAAACTTTTGAAAAGGAGAAGGGAGGGTTGTGAGGGGCAGGATTAATCCTCTTTAACATAACAGATTCCCCGCCTCCACTCACTCAGTAACAGATGAAGACAACTTTAAAGCATAAGGAACAATGGAGGAAGAAAATGGAGAAAAAGACTTTGAGATTGACACTTTTCTCTGTGTCTGTTTCACACTCAAAAACAAGCTCTTCCTTGCTTTCCTTTCTCTATTCCCATCAAATCTTCCTGTGAGAGTCTAAAGTTGTTGCATAGGTTGCATAGTGACTTACTGACCCACAGGAACAACAGCAACAAAAATCCTCCTGTTCCATCTGAATCAAAAGAGGCAGTGTGATTCACCTTTGAGACAGACCTGATCTCCATTGTAGAGCACCTGCTTTGCTTGCAGAAGGACCCAGGTTCGATTCCTGGCAGCATCTCCAGGTAGGAATGGGTACGTCCTCTGCCCCAAATCCCAGAAATCTGCTGCCTGTCAGTGTAGACAATACTGAACCAGATCAACCAACGGTCTTGCTATGGCAGCTTTTTTTAAATTCACCTAAGGCAGAGTAGCACTTCTGCCTGTCCAGTGCAAGAAACTGTGCTTTATGCGCAGGGAAACGCACTGGACAGGCAGAAGTGCTACTCTGCCTTAGGTGAAGATTTTCCAGATGATTGCACAGAGGGAAAAGCTGTGCTTTATGTGCAGGGAAACGCACTGGACAGGCAGAAGTTCAACAGCTTTTGATGCTCCTGTTTCTTAAGGAAAGGGCTGTAGTTCAGTGGTTAGAGCATCTGCTTTGCATGAAGAAGATTCCAAGCACAGCCTACAACATCTCCAGTTAGAGCGTTCATGGAGTGAGAGAGAATGAGGGAGACTGAACTATGTTATTATTTAAAAAGGAGGATTCTCTAATAAGCTATAAGGCTTTTAAAAAAGGGGGGGGGTGTCATATAGCACCTTGGAGAGCGGCTATGACTCAATCGACAAACCTGGAACCAAAATCTTGCCTAGTACACATAAGGCAGCTTTGTGTGTTCATTCACCAGACAGGACACTTACATCTGGGGTCACAAATGTGGCATCTGCGGGCACAGTGGTAGCCTTGTGGTCTTCCCCTGGTGCCCACAAAGCATCGGTGTGTCCTTGTCCCTCTCCCCCTAGCCCTTGGTTGGGGCAGGTGGTGAAGGTGGTTAACCTTTTCTCCCTTGAAAAACACATAGAGCTGAAAGAGGAAGTTGGAAAATGACACTCCTTCCCACTTCCTCTTTCACCTCTGTGATTTTCAAGGCTCAAGTTAATTCTACTGAATCTGACTCCTAGCCAGGTCCCCTTGAAGCGTGCAAGCACAAACTTTTTCTCTGTAGCAGGACAGAGGTGACCAGAGCCAGGGGCAGACCCATACAACTCACTAAAAAATCCAATGCACCAATGGGACTAAAAAAAATTGGCGTCCCATGGCATAAAGGCTTGGACAAAAGAATCAGGCAGATTTATGGAGAGTAATTTCCAGAAGAGCAGGTGTGTGAGTTAGCCTGTTGCAGCAAAAACAGGCATCCTAAAAGACTAACAAATTTATCGCGGCATCAGTTAATGTGTCAGTGTTGAAGCTGCCCCAAGACTCTTGGTTGTTTACAGAGGATATTTCTGTTTGCTATGGGAGCTCAGTGGAACTTCCATGACCAGAGACAGTTTATCTGCTGGGAGAAGCTACAGGGAAAACCCACTTCCTTGCTTGTAGGCTTCCCAGAGGCATCAGATTGGTCACTGCTGGAAATTGGATGCTGGGTTAGATGCTAGGTTTTGGGGGGGGGGTTGCTGTAAGCCCACAGAACTCCACTTACATTCTTAGATTTCCTACATGAGTCCCCAGTTGGAAGAATATTTCAGTCTCTGAATATTTCATTCTCTTGCCTTTTTGTTAATTTAATGTCCAAGCTCGCTTGCATCAATTTTTTGAGGACAGCACAAAAGCAAAAATAAAGGAAGGCGCATCAGCTGTCCAATATAAATCAAGAAAAGCAGAGGATGAAACCAGAATTGTCCATAAACTGAAACCTGCCAAAGGCCTTAGTAAATAGAAGTCTGGTGCCCACTTTGATATCATTTCAACACCAAAGGAAGGCCCTTTTATTATCCCCAGGCCTTTTGAAAAAACCTTTTAATTTAATTTTTTCTGGTTTTGTGCTTTTAAAACTCTTTGCTGTTGTTTATCGTTTTATGATTTTTATGTTTGATGGCAGTATGTTCGGCTTCTGCTGTGAACCACGGCCTGAGAGCCAAATATGTGAGATAAAATGAAAATTCAATCAGTCAGGAGCACACCCATGAGAAGCAAAAGCTAGAGTCCAAGGATACCTTCCAGCCAGGCAAAAACACTCCAGAAGGGTATGAATAAAGCAGATGGGTATGGCTGGGGAGAGGAGGGCATGGCCAAACAGACAGATCTGAAGAACTGCACTCAGCCCTTGGGCTTGAGATTCCCTATACATGGTGTAAGGATTATAACTACAGTGGTACCTCGGGTTAATAACTTAATTTGTTCTGGAGGTCTGTTCTTAACCTGAAACTGTTCTTAACCTGAGGTACCACTTTAGCTAATGGAGCCTCCCACTGCTGCTGCGGCACAATTTCTGTTCTCATCCTGAAGCAAAGTTCTTAACCCGAGGTACTATTTCTGGGTTAGCGGAGTCTGTAACCTGAAGCGTTTGTAACCTGAAGCGCCTGTAACCCGAGGTACCACTGTACTAGATATGCAAACTGCTTTAAACGCTTGGGAAATGTTATATAAAGGCTGTTTTAGTATTTTATTCATTAGAGGCAGCAAAACCAAGAAATTAAATTTCCCTCACCAAGAAATCTAGGCTTGTTCCTTAGCCCCCTTGCTCCTTAGCCTCTTCTTCTGGAGATATACCACAAGGCAATGGAGGTTTTGGACCAGAGTTTTATTTATCCTAGATGGGCACCTTCCTAGGTCGACGAGTCCCATCTGTGCCTCACTTCCCTCTACAGCACATGCCGAAGCCGCCTTCTTGACCGTTGGACCCACTATTGATCTTGTCCATTCAATCCGCCAGAGCCAGTCTTCGCATGCAAGGGAAGTTGCTAACTCCCTGAGGGTTCGAGACCTGCCAGCTACCCTACTCATAGTAAAGGTAAAGGGACCCCGATCATTAGGATTAGGTCCAGTTGTGGACGACTCTGGGGTTGCGGCGCTCATCTCGCTCTATTGGCCGAGGGAGCCGGCGTACAGCTTCCGAGTCATGTGGCCAGCATGACTAAGCCGCTTCTGGCGAACCAGAGCAGTGCACAGAAACGCTGTTTACCTTCCCGCTGGAGCGGTACCTATTTATCTACTTGCACTTGACATGCTTTCGAACTGCTAGGTTGGCAGGAGCTGGGACTGAGCAACGGGAGCTTACCCCGTTGCGGGGATTCGAACCGCCGACCTTCTGATCGGCAAGTCCTAGGCTCTGTGGTTTAACCCACAGCGCCACCTGCGTCCCATACCCTACTCATAGTAGATGTGTTTAAATCAGAATTTAATTTAATCATGTCCATTGATTTCAGTGGGTCGACTCTGAGTAGAAAGAACATTATTGACAATCCAAAGGCTACCTCCACATCGGCACACACTAGCCCTCTGAATACGAGTTGCTGTTGCACCCAGGTTCAGGTTTTGAGCTTCCCAGTGGCATCTGATTGGCCACTGTGGGAACAGGATGCTGGACTAGATGGGCCACTGGCCTAATCCAGCTGCCAAACTTTTCTTACGTTATTTTTGCAAATTGTTTTGGGGCTGTTGTTTTTTAAGCTCCTTGTTTTGTTGCCGTTTCGTTATAGATTTTATCTGGTGTTCCCTTCTTTGTAAAAAACAAAAAACAAAACCCTTTCTTTTTGCAGCTTTCCATTTTGTATTATTTCTTATTTGAAATGCACTCAGCACCTTCAGGGAGCATCTGCATGGCAAATCGAGCTATGCACGCTGGTAAATAAATCAACAGACCTAAACGATATTCCCTTTGACTGGCTCCTCTGCATTCCATCAAGAAAGTAGCAAGATCCAGACTTAGGATGGATAGGACCAGAGCAACACCCTTTCTCTTTGCTTTGCTTTGTTTTTAAAATGCTTTATTTTTCGCTGGAGGGTGAGATACTTTGGGAGGACAGCCACAGGAAGTTATCTGTTATATTGATTTCTTTAAAAAAATAAAATAAAAAAAGTTTGCCTGGGGCCCATCTGCCATTCCCCAGTGCAAGGAAAGCAGCACGTGACAAATTTAAAAATAAAACTCCAACTGGAAACAATAATATCCCAGAGGCTCTAAAGCATATTCTGCATTTATTTATTTATTTATTTATTTTGCACAGGGAGAGAAACAGCTCGTAGGTGTGTGCTTGTGGAAAGGGGGGGAAAGGGTGGCGAATAATTTCGCTGCTCTAAAAATAATCTTGGCCTGCTTGCTTTGCGGCATCCAATCAGGGAGGAAAAAAGGGGGGAAGGTGGATGTTGGTTTCTAGATATCAAGCCTAACGGAGTCTCTCTCCCTCTCTCTCTCTCCCTCCTGCCTCCTTTGGCTCCTCATTAGAAAATTGTTACAGAAGACGGGGAGACAAAGAGCTCATTTGCTAATGAACAAGTTGTAGACACCTTAATTATTGATGTGAGCTTGGTGGTGGCGGAGTGTGAAAGAACAAGATGGTTTCCTACTAATACAGCCCAGGCCTGAGTCTCAATAACACTGAATTTTTGGTTGCCTGCCTGCACAATGCATTTCATTCCATGCTTCCTGCTGCAGTACCCCCTCAAAACGGCTTTAAAAGAGAATTAAATAAATTCATGGAGGGGGAGGCAGTGTGGCGTAGGGTTTAGATTGTTAGACAACAACCTGGGAGACCGGGGTTCGAATCCCCCAATCAGCTCACTGGGTGTGACCTTAGGCCAGTCGCTTTCTCTCAGCCTGGCCCACCTCACAGGGTTGTTGTGGAGGATTAAATGAGGAGCGGGAGAAACCGTGTCCACCACCTTTGAGCTCTTTGGGGGGGAAAGGTGGGATAGAAATAAACAAACAAACAGCGCTACTGTTGGCTACTAGCCACGATGCCCACATTCTACTTCCACTGCCAGAGGCGTTGTGCCTCAGAATACCAGTTGCTGGGAAATCAGAAATGGGGAGAGTGTTGTTAATTCAAATCCTGCTTGCAGGCTTTACATCATGGGCACCTAGTTGGCCACTGTGAAAACAGGTTACTAGGCAAGAGGACTTTTCTTAGCTACATCACCCATTAAGGTTCTAACAGAAGAAAGGCAGGACTGGAATGCAACAAATAAATTAAAACTGAGGGTAACACAGTATAAATCAAGAATGGTCAGCTTCTGTATTCTCTGGGACCAACCTCTTCCACAGCCTTGGTCAGCTGAGCAGGAGACTCTTGATCTCAAAGTTGTGAGTTCGAGCTCCACGTTGGGCAAAAAGATTCCTGCATTGCAGGGGGCTGGACTAGGTGACCCTTGTGGTCCCTTCCAGCTCTACAATTCTATGGTTCTCTATACACTGGCCCACAGCCAGAATGGTCCAGAAATTAGGAGTGATAACTCTCCATGATAAAAAGCATCGGAAGATCCTGCTTGTGAGCTTCCCATTGGGGCATT